GAAAAGAGATATGCCAGAGCAGCAAACAGAATACAGCACTGGATAACTGACAGGAAACAGCCTCAGCCATGACTGTGTCTTAATGCTTATGTTGTGTCCCCAAGGGTGAAACACGAAGCCCCAAGGAAGCTCAAACTGTTCAAAAACCAGTGCTTACTGAAACACATTTACATTTATGGTAAAGTCCCTGGCCCAAAGCCGTAATCTTTCTAAGTTTCTGTTCATCCAGTCAACACCTTTGTTTTGCCTTTGAAGGGCAAACTGGTAAGAAATTTCTGTTACAGAGCATGATTTGTTTTGGTCTGTGCCTTCTCAGGACAAAAGGACAAAGCATTAAGGCGCTGTCCTTCCTGTTCCCCCCCGGCTACACCAGACAGGCTGTTCACAGTTTGCTTAACATTTTAACTTGTGACTGCAGGAGACTTTGACAAATACCAAAGAGAATTCAAAGAACAGAAGATTGATGTGGAACGGAGCTGGACGCATCCCCATTACGATTCAAATGACTACAACGGTGACATAGCACTGCTGTACTTGAGCAGCGACGTTATTTTTAATGAGTACGTAATTCCCATCTGCCTTCCAAGCCCTACCCTTGCCACCCTGCTCTCAGAAGAGGGGAGCGTAGGGATGGTGAGCGGGTGGGGTGCCACTCATGACAGAGGTTCCACACTGCGCTTTCTCATGAAAGTGCGGCTGCCCATCGTAAACATGGAGACCTGTCAGCGGTCAACAGACAGACTCGTTACCGACAACATGTTCTGTGCGGGGTACAACACTGAGGCTGCAGACGCCTGCAAAGGGGACAGTGGTGGCCCTTTCACTGTGTCTTACCACAACACTTGGTTCCTCCTGGGAATTGTAAGCTGGGGTGAGGGCTGTGCCGAAAAAGGAAAATACGGTGTGTATACCAGGGTATCCAATTATATCCCATGGATTAAAGAGATTGTTGAAAGTGTAGCAGATTCTGAAAACTCTTACATTAACTTTTCTTAATGTCATCCTTAAACACAGGGATAATTCTCTTATTACAGAGTGTCTGAGTCTAAGACACGAAGTAGTCCCTGTCCTTACAGGTGTAAAATCGAGATTATCTTCAAAGAAATTTTGAGTCTCTACCATAAATGGCTAAATTGTTCACTCGAGTATTACTGAGTAAAATACTTGTGTATAATAAAGACCTATTCTGCAAATAACAAAGGAGACAACTACAACTTTTCTTAATGTAAGTTCCTGTCAGAGAGGTGGGGTTTTTTTAGAGAAAGAAAAAGCTTTCAATTTCTTAAACCTGCATGTGTATGACAAAACCAGGCAAACAGTCCTCTCTGTGAGTTAACTGCTTAGGAAAGAAGAGCATTTCTGGTAGTGTCTGTCCTCTAGTTATGAAACACCGCGCTGAACACCACAGTTACAGACCTGTAAAGTTTTGTCACCAAGTAGAACTGTTACCTCAGGTACAATTCAGTTTACCATAATACAAATGTTTTCTGACACCGCCCCCAATGTCTGTATGCAGTACTGTATTACAGACTGCGCTGGCGCAACTGTCTGAGAGGGAGTCCCCCACAGCTGCAGCTGGAGAAACATAAAAGGAGTGTGTGTATGGTGGAATTCTGAAATAAATAATTAGCGGGGGCTGTGAGGACACACTGTCCCCTGTGCTCTGCGTGACTCTGGCGAGAAAAGGCACATCCCACTCCGGGCACAGCACTACAACAGTGGAACTACACCACAGTGCAAGTAACAGAACTGTCCATTTTTCATACTTTTTCCTCGAAGAAAGAAACCCCTATTTCTTTATTCTGAAGACAACCCCCAGCCCCTCATGTACACAATTTACTTCACCCAGTTTTTGATGGAAACCAGTAATTTGGATATGAAGTATTTGTGAACACCCTTGATGGGGAAAAGCCAACACACCACCACAGCAATAAACAACTTTTCTATCACCCTATAACAAAGGGAGACTCATGGTGTGCCTCCCACCATCCCTCTAAGAAGTCTATTTCCCCACACAGCAGAAACTTCACGTACTTAAAAAGCGCTCGATGCCAAAAATGCAAGTGAAACAACCTACCTGTGGGCCAGAGCAATATCCCCCAATGAATTAGCCCCTTTGCATACCTACATTGCCATCCATCTCTGTAGCTTTGTCCTCAGTTACTTCTTTCTGCTGCAACTAATAGTTGGGCTTTGTGACCCATTTGATTTTTTGACATTTCTTACAATTCACTACAAAGTTTTAATTTTAAAAAACCCAGCGCTCACAGCCATGAGGGGCTCTGTTCTCCCTCAGCTCTGTTCAAAGCCTTGTAAAAGTTCATTACCGCACCACAAGAAACAGACCCTTCTTGTTTGCCTCAGAGCACGCGATGCCCAGCTCTTATTAATTTTGATAGCAAGAAACTGTACTAGGACTGCACAAGACACCAGGGTAGGTACTTCAAGGAAAAAGCTCTTAGGATTTAAAAGTAGCCCACAGCCCACCATGACTGCACTACCAGAACTATGTACAATAAAAAAAAAGGGGGGGGGGGGGCATGGGCAGCACCCTAAACCCATAAGACTTTCAGGGCCAAATGGTACCTGGGTACGAACAGCTCTACAACAGTCACTTACTGCTCACACAACTGCACCTGCAGTTGGCAGTGAGGAATTCCTTGTCTTTCAGTAAATTCTTAATTTAAAAAAATGGGGAAAAAAAACAAACACCCAAACCCTTGAAACTCTCAGCATGCTAAAAACACACACCTGAGGGCGGCTACTGTGTCATAAGCGTACCTGGCACCAGCAGGTGAAGTAGTCTTACAAGCCGCATTCCTTTAGTCAGCTCCATCCAGCGCAGGCAGCCTCCTTCAGGTTGTGCATCACGTTCGTGTCCCAGCACACAGCTTTGTGTTATTGCCACAGTCCCGCAGGAGCACATTTGAAATGTGACTACTGACATACTTACTTACATTTTCTCCAGTATCAGTGCCAGCAGATGCTGCTGATCAGAGACAAGTGCTGCTAAGTCAGCCAACACCAACATCCCTACCTCCACGAATTCACAGAATTACAAACCACAAATTACAGCGAAAGGGCTGTGCTCCCCCGGAACGAAGGTAACCACCTTACTGAAATCCCAACTGCCAGCTATCCATGCAAGGAGAACCCTGCTCTTGTAGGCAAGCTCAGCAGACAAAAACATTTTTAGAGGGAGAGGTAAAGAAGCAGAGGTACAAAATGCCGCTCTGCTGTCTTTCTGTAGCAAGAGGAACAAAGCAATAGCAGCATTATTCCCCTAAAGGAGATAGGAACCTTCTCCTTACCACCGGTAAAATAAACTTTTCAGAAAGTCACTAGTGGGCTACAGAGCAACACACATTTGAGCTACCCAAATACCAAAGTAAAACAAGCGAAAAAAAATCACATGGTTTTCAACACTACAAAATAAGTCACAGCAGTATCAGCATTAAGTGCTGCATAGAGCACCCAAAAAGGAAGCGCCCAGTAATCTGATGTTCAGTGTTCCTGGGCAGTCATGCTAACCTTGATTCCAAAGTCTGGCTCACTTTGAAAATGATTTATCACACACCACAGAAAAACCCATCAGCTGCAGCCCTCTGCTCTCCCATAGCAGCCACCCTTGAAGGCTCTGCCGTTCGCACGGAGGATCAGTAGACGTGAAATACTGCTGTCTGTCTGACGTCAAGCACTTGCTGGGAGCCGCTGGAATTTCTAGTGGTCTGTCTGCTGGTCTTCTCTTGAACTTTCCATCCTGCTTTCATGAAAAATTAGATCCTTCGAGCGGAAGACAGTCAGTATTTCTTATGAAAACCAATATATGTAGATCTCCAAAGACAGAACTGATTAATATGAAAAAAGCACTGAATAAAGAGGAAATGGACAATGGTAAACAGAAAATTAACAATTGGCAGCTTTTCCACATATCAGCTGGTCCACACATACAGTCCCTTGAGCAATCAACAGACAGCCCCCCAGAAAAACAGAAGATGTTTTATTGTCTAAAGTATTGCAATACAACAAATAAGTGATCTGTACAAAGGACACAATAGAGCAAATTTAAATACAATCAGGAGAAAGAAGTCCCCATATTCACAGTCCTCAGACAACATCTTATACCAGAACCTGAACCAACAATTTAAAGATTCACTAAAAAAACCCAAACAAGTTGTTAAAAAATTTAAAGGTCTCTCAAGAGTCTATGGGTGTATTGTCTTACAGCAGAGATCATGGGGTATTCTGTGAAGGGTCACAATGGCATCTTATTGCCCTCAATGCTGATTTTCACTGCATGGGCTGATCTGCTTTTTTTCCTGATATCTGTGAATTTCCGCATCTGTTTGTCCAGTCGACTCACCCCTTTCTTAGAGGTCCCCTGGAACTTAAAAAATAAAACTAATAATTACCACTGAAAAAAAGCAGACGTCCCAGAGGTTTAAGAAAAGCAATGCATGCAAGGTTAAACCTGCAAAAGGGAGGTGATGAAGCCACTGGTTCCAGGTGGGGGGTGCGTGGCGTGTGTGTACGTACGTGCACGTGTGCACATATTCTCCCCACAAAGTGGATAAAATGGTTCCCCCGATATACGCATTGCATATATGGAGGCAGTCGCGCTCACAAACACCACACAGTAAAGCTTTCACATTACAGGGATTAATAACCACGTTAGTTGTTCACACGCCGGCTGAATATACAGTTTGGAATAGTTTCGTATCTATATTGGCTGGAGTTTCGTGTCAGAAATACACTGCTCTATGGTGTCACACATAAAGGCTTCCTGTGGGGGAAGATTTTTAGATACAAATACAAAGTAATTGAGGTGGAATGAGTTGACAGATCCAATTCCAAACCGCAATTTATTTTAAAGGTTACTGATTAGTACTTATAAAGCAAAAGATTATTCGGGGGGGGAGGGTGTAGGGGGAAGCAAAAGAAATGCCTAAGCTGAACATATGAGTTATTAGAGGAGTTACTGCATTTCATCTCTGTATTTTAACTGCAAATTGGAAACTGAGATGACACAGCAGTTTTAGCACAGATAAAATACAGTGATTCAGTAAAGAAACACCACTGAAAAGACAAACAGCAAAGACCTTCCAATCCATAGCCATTACTTCTGAGAACACAATTTGCTCTAACTATAGACAACAGAAACAATAAATTATGCGAACTTCACACCTTTAAGTCTGGGAGAAACAGAGATATCCAGAACATGCTCCTTAATATCTGACAGAAGACATCTATTAGAAACTGAACCTCTTGTTCCCATCACTGAGGAAGGCGCTCCTGTCACACTGATCTTCAAATAAACTTTATTCATAAAACTATTCACTAGTCATTGAAATTATGTCTGGAATTTCACAGTGATTTTAAAAAATTTTTTTTTTTTTAAACAAATAAATATGAAGTTCAAACTCAACAGTTATCTACCGTTTGTGCTAGGCTCTTCCTATCACTATTAGTTTGTGGCGACCCTGCTCACAGAACTGAAATGCAGATTAGAAATTGTCAAAACATTTCCCACATTGATGTGTCATTGACTGATCTCCCTCCACCCTGCATTGACAGTGGGGGATTCTTCTCCCCCTGGTCCGCAGAGGTCTCATTCTCTGTCTCCCATCAACCACCCCCGTTAAGTCAAGTCTCACATCACTCAACTTCTTGAAAAAGTAGGTGTGAAAAATACCTTACTTTGTACCAGTAAAACATCAGCCACAGATGTTAGTATCCAGTGACATAAGGTCCTATACTGAGGGCTAAGAACTCCTGCATGTCAGTTCAGGTAAACCTGGAGAACCTAATTAAGTCGGAACAGCGTTCAAAACCATAGGTGGTGCAAAGCTATTTTTGAGTACAGGTATTTTCATTTAATACCTTCATACCCTAAAGCTGTCGAGGCAGGTATCGTGGCAGATGTTATGTGCTACAGCCTATTTTTCCTGTACAAGTTCCCTTTTAGGTCACAGTACAGACATGAGAGAATACGAGGA